TCATGCCAGAAACACATTTTTTCTTTCTTGCTCTTTAAATCAGTGTTCCAATTTCCCTTTTGGTTCCTCAATTTCTTCTTACATTTTGAATCCTAGCATGCTCTGCTGTTGTAATTTTTGCAGTTTCTGTTGCAATTGCATCCTATATGCTTCTTTCCTTTTTGCTTGTTCTTTTCCTATTCTTATAAATTAGTCATTTGTGCACTCTTTTACCCACTCCCACCAATTGGTTACTGTTTCAAAACACCCTTTTAGTGCTTTCCATCATATGTACAGTTTTTCATTCTCTTCTCGGGTCGTCTTTTCTTCGAGTAGCGTGGTGTTTAGCCTCCAGATTCCTTTCCATTTCTGCATACATTTCCCTTCTTCCAGCCCTGCTGTAAGCATGTAGTGGTCTGAGAAGAAAACTGGTGTTATTTCTGTTTCTCTCTTTGTCCATTGCTTTGATGTCTGGATAAAGTCAATCCATAAGAACCTTTTCCCTGCCCAGTATCTTCTTGTGAAGGCAACTTTTTCTTTCTGTCTTCCTTCTTCTATAACTTGCAGATCAGTGTGTATGATTATTCTGTTTAGAATCTTTGCCAACTTGTCTATGGTTCCTGCTTGCCTCTTGCCCTTTCTGTCTTGTGCTTGTCATTTGCAGTTGAAATCACCTACTAACGTACACAGTGCTCCGGCAGTCATGCTGATTTCCAGTTTTTCCAGGAATATGCACCTCTCCTTTCAATCCACTGGTGCATAGATATTTGTGATCTCAAATATTTTCTAATTTATTTCACACACTACTTGCAGGATTCGCTTCCCCCCTCTCCATTCCTTTATTCTCTTAATTTTGATGCTTGCATTCCTAATTAGCTGTACTATACCTGTTGCTCTGTTTATCTTCAACCCAGACCAGCTAGATGGTTCCTGCTTCCACCGTCTCTCATATTCTGTGTAATTTTTGGCTGCTGGTATTGCACATTCTTATATACAGATAATATCTGCCTTTATCTGGGCTAAATACGCTTCAATCATATTTCCATCTTTTGTATGTGCTTAAATATAGTTCAAACTATGCATGATATTAGCCAAAAGCCAAAAGGTTCATGATTTACTATATAGTTCATGGAGCTGGGCCTCAGCAGAGTGAACAGCATTTCAAACCATGGTGATCCCAAAGCTCAGCACTGCTTAGTATGTGTATGTACTCCAGATACTGCTCTCTCAAAGGATCCATGTGCTAATTAGCCCCCCACTTACAACTGGAACCGGGTTTTCTTGTCATGAGTCCTGGGATACTTCAAAACTTTATATAAGGATGAGGTGCAAGGCAACCTGATCTGGCTTCACCTTATGGAGGGTGGGGCCACACCAATCATATGCGCCAGGCTGAGAGAGGAAGAAACAGAGGGATTCTGGGTGAACTGAGACCCCATTTGGTGATATTTGCCAGATATTTAAGGCTGGTAAAGAAACAGGAATAATTGGAAATGGGAAAGAAAGGCACAGATCAGCTGTGGGAATTAAAAATGGATGCTGCGTAGTGGCTCACCATGACTCGAAAAAAATAAAGAGACAGTGTTCAGGGGGTCTGTGTTTAATGGGCACTATCATTAGCTTAATTAGATGGGTTGCACTAACCTGTCCTTGTGTTAGGCTCCTATAAGCTTCTCAGCCTTTTGGTTAAAATCAAATATAGCATTTTTAGCACCAAGGGAAGGGTGTCAGGACTGGCTTTGGCCCTCCAACTTCCAGACTGGTATTGCAGTACCTCCAGGCCCACTGCCAGTTCCCTGTGGACGGAACCCACCCATTTATTAAGGACCAAAATAAAAAAGGTTTCCATCAGCATGTTTACCCAATGTGGGCCATGTACTCTATAGTCATGCTTAGTGTTGGCTACATTTAATGAACTTCAAAGTTGGTTTTCATTACTTAACATATATTGTTTTTGGTAGTAGCTTAATAATAGACAATGTATTTAATGAGGTTTCATTTTATGCAAATAGAAGATGAGGGGTTTTTCTCCCTATGCTGACTGGGGGGAAAATATCATCTTGTATTCAAATAAATATGGTAACCCCCTCCCTTCTTAAATTCAGGAAATTCCTTTTTTGAAGGGAAAAAAACTTAATGCTGCTAAGGTTTAAATCTAAAAACCTAATCCAAATAGAGTTTTAATTGAATGGATACATTGATAATCTATTGACAGCCTTTCTTTACCAACTGTGAAAGTTTACACCTGTAATAATAATATTATTCTATTAAACAGATAAGAAATATACTCAGAATGTAATTTATTATTTTAAAATTAAGTGTAACAGTTCAGTAAAGTTTCATTCTCTATTTCATACAAAAATTTCACTGATTTTCAAAATGTCATGAAAATAAGATTAAGTTACTGTCATGACCCAATGATTGTGTGTGCGCTTCGGCACTGCAGAATTATTTCCCGCCACATGAAGCTTTCTTTGCACGGTGCAATTCTCAGCTGCAGAGAGAAAACCCCAGTGCAAAGGAGTTCCCGCCACCCGTATGGAAATTTGTTCCCCATTATTGGCTGTTTCTAAATTATTCCCACGTGGTGGCTAGTGATTGGCTTGCTAGCCGTATAAGAGGTTTGAGCAGTTTCCGCCCAAGTCAGAGATCTCCGAGAATCTCAGGAGGATCCTGAGAACCCCGATTCCAAGAATTCCGGGAGAAATCCAAGAGAATTCCGACAAGGAGTCCATGATTATCTCGTGGATTTCTACGTATATCTTGGACCGAATGATGGTTTGATCACCCATCAAGAGTCTCTCCCCGTCACCGGACGATCCTTGACGTACCCCTGCCCTGCACGCTCGTTGAGAGTCACAGCACGGACTCTCATATCGGTTTAGAGAGCTCTCATCGTTCGAGTTTTCTTCTTTTCTTCTTTTCTTCTATCTACAACTGTAACCAAGCAAGTTTTCCTGCCTGCACCGCAACCATCTACGGTGTAAGTAAAATAATCTTTAATCAACCTCTACGCGTCAGTGCCTAATTCTAGTCCGCTGTGCTGACTTCCCTGGCCCACGTGCCCGGGCTGCTGGCCACAGCCCCTCGGCCCCGACAGTTACCACCTATGTTGCCATCTATAACAAGGTTCCACCCCAGGGGTGGCCTTGGAACCCTTGGATCCACCCTTCAGCCCTAGTTATCTTTACTGTCTTTGGACACTCTCCCCTTCAGCTTATCTGCCACGCCTTGATGTAAATGTATACTTGTGAAAAGGGAGGCTGTCCCAGGGATTCTGGAGCCAGGTCTCATACTAATTAGCATGGGTGTTGCTACTTAGTGTCTTAAGGGCTAATTATGTGGCCTTCCTTCCTGCTTTTAGCTACACCCAAACCTTGCAGATGTTACCCATCATTTGCTCATCATTGGGCATTAATCCCCATTGTCCGATCTGGTCACTCACTCATCCATGGCCCTCTAGTCCCAGTCTCAACTCCATTTTATGCAGGCCTCTAAACCTGACGCAGTTTTCATCACTGTTGGGGCCTCTGGCCTTGGTGCCTTTAACCATCCTGGCCCCTTCTGGGCTCAGGCCTCTGTACCTTGAACAATCTCAACTCCTCTTGGGCTTAGGCCTGCAGTCTCAGCCCCTCCTTGGCTCAGGCCTTTGTCTCTTCCCTGGTCCCTCCAACTTTTTCCCAGTCCCTCCAGGGCCCATGCCTCAGTCCTCTCTCTGTCCTGGGCTTAGGCATCATTATCTGAAATGGACTCGGCCCATCCTAGGCTATGGCCCCCTTGGCCCTGTTTATTCTTGCCCCTCCTGGTCTACAGGTCCCTGACCCTGGTTTTTGCCCTTTCTGGGCTACAGGTCCCTGACCCTGCCTGCTTGCATCACTCTATGACTGTGACCCTGCTCCTTGGCCTTGGCCTCTATTCCTCAGGGCCCTGGCCCTGCTCCTTGGACAGTTGAGACCTTGACAGCCCCTACAGTCTCAATCCCTAAACCACTGGTCTTGCCTACCCCAGTTCAGGTGTTAGTCAGGAACCTTGCTGCAGCTCTATGGCTCAGGAGCTATTCTCTCCATGACTTCTAAGTCAAACTGCCTGCCCAGCTTAGGCCGTGGGCTATATCCTGCAAGCCCAGCCCCTTTTGGATCATCTGGCTCCCTTAATTGCCCTCTGCCTCACCTGCAGCCAGCTTCTCCTGCAGCCTGCCTTCATCAAGCTCCCTGCTCCACCATCCCAATGAGCAAACAATGAAAAAATAAACATCAGTGAGAATAATAAAAACATTATGTACAAAATATGCAATTTCCCATTGCATATGGCTACTGACCAAAGTGAATGTTAACATCGAGTCACTTGTACTTCTGATTTAATGAGGTGCAAGATTTGGTCAATAATAATTAGGGACCAGATTACAGCCCAAACAATATGTCTGCCTTGGAGAAGAATGGAGTATAAACTTGACCCTTATTCTCTGCAACCCATTGACTTCCTGGAGTTGCTCTAGGGCACCTTCCCTAATCTGTGTGCATAACCCCTGCCCCCAACGTATCAGTCAGAGCCATGGTACACATCCTCTCAAAGGTCATATTTTGTGCCAGGTCTCAGGGATAGCTAGCTGTACCCCGAGCCTGGAGAAGCAGGAAACCACAAGGCTGATAATGACTTGGAGAATCATCAGTTTGCTCATGTAGCAGTGCAAATGCAGAGGCCTGTGTCAAAGCATTTGTTGCTCTGTAGGTGTGTGAAAAAATAGTTTCAATACTTGATATTTTGAGACCAATCCCTTGAAAACCAATCAGTTTCATCCTTCAACAGCATACGGTTTTGAATTGATGCCATGACATCTAGTAGTCATTCGCTCACAAAAGTAATTTGTTGCAAGTATTCAGAGTTCTGATTAAATTGCTAATGGTAAATTGTTGCCAACAAAAACAAATTCTAAATCAGAATAGGTTCTTAGCTGTTCCCTAATTTGAGAAGAAAATACTCATTTTGCTTTAAACAATGAGTAACATTTTTTTTTTTTGTAGGTTGGCTTATGGTTTAAAGGCAGTGAAGATCTAAAAATTCCAGAAAGTCCTACAGAACCTTTGCCTTTTAACAGGCTGGAGCATCTTATAACGGTAACTGTTGAAATCTGTTAAGAATTTTGGAATATCACTTGTCATTCTGAATCAAACTTCCTGCGTCTAATTTTTGATGGTGTCTTCTGTTGCAATGCACAGCCACTTTTGCTCCTGAATTCAAATTTTCATATATTGCAAGTTAAAGCCTAAACTAAAAAAAATGGATCCCTTACTTAGATTTCAAATTAGTATTTGAGTACCCGAATCTAAGGGAAATCAGTGAGAGCCATTAGTTGCTCAATGCTTTTGAAACTATAAGCCCAGTTTTTGGTTGCAAATGTGAAGTTTAAGTAAATCACTTAAGAATAATAATAACTATTGTAATAAAATATAAGAAAACACCCAGGAATAGGAAATGTAGCTTGACCAATTGAATTTAAATACATTGGGTATAGGTAGGGGTTGAAGCATTTCTACTAAAAGAGATTGATTACATGTGTTAACTTTTAAGTCATTCTATGAAATACTCATTTGAGAAAATAAAATATAATCTCGATTTCTTTAAATTTTCTGCAGAATCTCAACACACTTTCTTTCTTAAAGAGAATCTCTATTCAGCAAAAACTGTTTCACTACCTATATAATCATGTAGGGTATGGACTGAGTGAACAGGGAACTATTGTGTACCAAGTCCCAGAATAATGGAATTAGGGTGCACCCACTAAAATTAGTAGGAGACAGATTTAAAACCAACAAGAGAAAGTACTTTTTTTATACAATGGATAGTTAAGCTGTGAAATTCACTGCCACAAGAAGTGGTAGAAGCGGATAGCATAGCCAGGTTCAAAAAGGATGGGCAATTGGGCCCATGGGCCACATAGGAAGTTTTGGTGAACTGCTGTGGGCCAGGTCAGCAACCCCACCCCCTCCAGTGCAACAGCTCACCAAAACTCCCTAAGTGTCTTTGCTCCACGCTTGCTTGGGTGGCTGGGATGGGGACATGAGTGTGCAGGGAGCAGCACTGGAGAATAGGATGGGCAGGTGGGACCAGAGCTGGGATTGTGGCAGTGACAGCATGGGGCCAGGGCCTGGGGCAGAACCATGTTCTTCTGCCTGCACACCCCTGCTATGGGTGCCAGTTTTGTGGCCAGGCACATGTGGGAAGCAGATCATGGCCTAGCCCCGGCCCAGGCCCCACGCTGTCACTGCCCTGTGATTGCGCCCATGATCCTGGCCTCACCTACCTGTCCTGCACCCAAACACCACTCCCTGCCTTCCCACAACCCCATCCCATCTGTCCGACTGTGCACTCTGCCCTCACAGGTCCCGCCCTGGAAGTGGGTATGGGATGGACTTGCTGGGGTGCCCAGGCAGCGGGGCTGGGCTGGGGCTGGTGGCAGCAGCCAGACGGAGCTACTACCACCCAGGCTGCAATGAAGCAAGTCCAACTGCTGCACTGCCCCAGCCCCACTGGGCCAGGGGTGGTGGAAGCAGCCATACACTCCATGGCTTGGGCTGCCCTCTGCATCTGGGCTAGGCGAAACCAAGGCACCTGCCTGGGCCAGACAAAATCCTTTGGCAGGCTAGATCTGGCAGGCCGTATTTTGCCCACACCTGAACTAAAAAGATTCATGGATGATAGATCTATTAATAGCTGCGGAAGTTGTTTTCTCTGGCATCTTTGAACTAATGCTGGCATATGCCAGGAGGGTATTAGATAATGATAAATCACTCTAGAAATATCTGGTTCAATGCTCTCCCTCTAGCATCCACTTCTGCCACTGTCAGAGACAGGATGCTGGGCTAGATGGACCATTGGTCAGACCCAGTCTGGCACTTCTTATGTTTTTACGTTTATCTAGCACAGTGGTTTTCAATTTTGTTTAATTTGTGGACACCTAAAATTTTTGACTGGAGTTGCAGACCCCTTTCAAAATTTCAAATGGAGGTGTGGACCCCCTGAATTATAAATATGGGTATTCACATACTTTAGCTTGATCATAGTCATCTTTCACAGACCTCCTCGACATAGTCTGTGGGCACTTAGGGGTCCACAGACCTCAGGTTGAAAACCACTGACTTCTTATAGTCGTACTTCTTACAGATCAGTAAAATTTGATTTAAAATGTGTCAAGCATCTATTGCAAGAATTAATTTAAATGTTTTTCCTTTAATAGTTCTTCTTCACTTTATTTGCTGATGACAGAATGGATCCACCTCAACTTGACTATATTAAGATGCTGCTGTATTTTGCCTCCCACCCTGATGCTGTTGAAGGAGTCTACAGAGCACTTAGTATTGCTACTGGCACATATATCCATAGAAAAAAAGAGATTTCTTCTCCTTGCATGGTAAAACATGATCATGCTATAAATAATTATATTGGGTAATAATGGTACCAGATAATCATAACTTAAGTTCTAAAGATGTGGGGTCAGTTCTTTTCTCATTTCGCATGTTGCAATGACCCTTCCTTACAAATATAAAGAGGAGTCTGGGAATTTGCCTCTTCAGCAGTAACAAAAATATATGGC